TGGAGACCAATTGATAGAATTTTGCAAGATCAATAGCTTCTTCATTGGAAATACCCTTTTCAACCACAAAAAAGCGGTGACTAAGCACAGCCTTTGCCAGACTGAATGCATAGGGATCAAATGGGCTCCACCTATGGGAGATGACAGTGGAGACAAGCCAAAGGGAGGCCAAGGGCTGATTATGGGACACACTGTCAATGGCTTACAGGCAAGTTCACGTTGAACTTAAGAAAATTAAAACAAGTCCTCAAGAGCCAAAATACAATCTTGATCATATCCCACCGGAATTTAATTGATATCTCAAGACCAGGTCTGATGCATCGAACACCAATGGCAGAAGACCGGAAGGAAGAGTTGTAGGAGAACATCATATGTGAAGAAGGCAAAGTCATTTTAAAAGGCAGGAAAGAAAGAAAAGACCAATGCAGATGTCAGGAGAGACTCTGAAACTTGCTCTTGAAAGCACAGTAGCTAAAACAAATGGAAGATGTGACAGTGCAATAGCAGTGAACAGAAACTCTCAGAAGGTAGTGCGAGAAGACAAAAAGAGTAATATAATGAAATGTGCCAAGATCTGGAATGGGGAAGCCAAAAAAGAACATACTGTCCATATCTGAAGATGAAAAAGTTAAAGAAAAACAATTCAAGCCTTAAATTAAAATATTGAGGAATTCCATGGGCATAAAGCACTGAAAAACGTGGGAGGCATCAGAGATGACGGGAGGAATACACAGCTACTTTACCTTTTCAAGAAGTAGCATATGATCAAGAGCCAAGTACTGAAGGAAGAAGTCCAAGCTGCACTGAAGGCATTATCTACAAACAATTATTCAGAAATTAATAAAATAGGTATTTAAATATGTCAACAAGCGGAAGCACTGGATGCACTCAACTACCTATGCCAAGCAATTTGGAAGACAACTACCTGGCCAACCGACTGAAAGAGATTCATATTTGTACAATTCCGAAGAAAGGTGTCCCAACAGAATGCAAAAATTATAGAACAGTATCATTACTATCACAAGCAATAACATTTTGCTGGATAAGTAAAAAAATGGTTGCAGGGGACAGGGAGCTGCAAGAAATTCAAGCTAGATTCAGAAAAGGACATGGAACGAATGAGTCATTGCTGATATCAGATGGATCTTGGGTGAAAGCAGAGAATACCAAAAGCTATTTACTTGTGTTTTATTAACGATGCAAAGGTATTTTGGCTGCGTGGGTCATAACAAACTGTGGATAGCCTTAAGGAGGATGGTGATTCCAAGACACGTCATTGTGCTTCTGCAGAACCTACACATGGACCAAAAGGCAGTCACTCGAACAGAACCGGAGGGTGCTGTGTGGGTTAAAATCAGGAAAGATGTATGTCAGGGCTGTATTCTTTCACCAGTTATTCAATCCGAATGCTGAGCAGCGACTCAGAAAAGCTGCACCATACGAAACAAATGTGGCATCAGGATCGAAAGAACGCGTATTGGTGACCTGCGATCTGCAGAAGGAACAGCCTAGCTTGCTGAACATGAGGACTTGAAGCATTCGCTGATGAAGATAAAGGATTGCAGCCTTCAGTGTGGATCACGACTCAGTGTATAGAGGAGCAATATCCTCACAACTAGACTAATAGGTACCATCAGGATCAATGGAGGACAGGGGGACGTTGTCAAAGCTTTTGTCTCGCTTGCATCCACAGCCAATGCTCACGGCAGCAGCACTCAGGAAATCAAATAACTTATTGCATTGGGCAAACTTGCTGTGCAAACTCTCACTCTCTTGAAAGTGTTGAAGAGCAAGGATGTCACTTTGAGAACCAAGAGGCTCCTGACCCAAGCCATAGACGTTTCAATGGCTTCATAAGCCTGGAAGAGTTGGTCAATGAATAAAGAAGACAGAAGACTGGATGCATTTGAATGATGGTGTTGTCAAAGACTACTGAAAGAACCATGGACTTCCGGGAGAAGGAACAGATCTACCTTGGAGGAAGAACTGCCAACAATGAGATTGTGTCTCATGTTCTTTGGGCATATTGCTATGAGAGACCAGTCCTTGTCTAAGTAAAGAAAAGGGTCCACAAAAAAGAGGAAGACCCTGAAGGAGATGCACTGACACCGTCTCTGCACCAACGGACTCAAATGTAACAACAACTGTGATAATGGCCTAGGATCACGCAGTGACTCGTCCTATTGTACACAGGCTCTCTGAGTCAGAACCAGCATGACGGCAGTTCACAATGACATCACTAGAGCACAGAAGACGACGGGGCAGCAGAGGACCACCATAACTGACACTCTGACCACCTCTCGCTCTGTTTCAGTGATGGCCAAAGCCCAACGGCCTCGGGAGGAAATGAATGTGCTAACATTAAGTGTAGTCGAACGAGGAACTATGATGTGTATTTGATGTTGTAGCCATGCAGAGCTTAGTAAGCGAGTCTCTGTTCCAAAGGGCATTATAATCTAACAGCAAATAGTTGGCTATCCATGAGGTAGTGGTAATAATATGGACTTATCAATGAGAACATTTTTTGTTGCAAGTGGCAAAACTACTAAAGAGCCCACATCATCAAATGGAAGTCCTGGGAGTCACTTGGAACTAGCCCCATTCATGTCAACACTGACTCAGTCACTTGGCAAATTGGTCGGGATGACACTGATTGTGTTGAGACAATGAAGGCTGACCCTTAGATCTGGTGATGGGGTCAATTTATTGAATGTGCCTTTCCATATTCCAGGCACTGTACTAGTTGACTTGAGATGGATTATCTTTACATAGATTTATCTTTACCTACTAGGTCAAGCCAAATATTGTCTTGAGTATGTGAACAAGGAAACTGAAGCCCAGAGAAGTTAAGTGATTCCCCAAGATTACACAACATAGAAGTCGAAGCGTCAGGATTCATACTTAGACCCTGTGCCTCCAGACCCCACATTCATAACCACTAAGCCCTAGCATATGGTGGTGCCTGATGGGTTATATTTGCTGGGACAATTGGGAAGGAGGAACACTTAGCTACATGAGAGGAAGATTGGGGAAAGATAGAGTGGTAGAGCTTTAGCTAGGCTTTACACAGAAATGGGAATAATTGATAAGGTAAACTTTCAGAGATGGGACTCATGCTATAGTAGAAATAGCCAAGTAATCGACCAGACTGCAAATTCTGTAATGTACAATCAAGTGGCGATTTCGGAGTTATTTGACTTCTGATTCAACAGGTGCAATAAGAAGCCATCAGAGTTGAATTTAAGGTTTCGGGGGAAGAATCTAAAGAAGTGCTGGCAAAACGACTTGGAAACATAAAAATGAAACCAGGTAAGTCAAGTCAGATTCTATGAAAACTGGAAAGTCCCTTGGGAGGGTGGCAAGTAAGCAGCTATGGATTCTCCCTAGTGGCAAGCTTCGAGACAAGGCTCTACTGCTCTCTTACCATGGCCAAACGAGAAAGCATGCAAGAGAGGCATACAGATGAAACCGTACACTCTATGAGATATCCTAGTAAAGAGAATGCCTGCAGTCGCCCTAAAAGGGAGTTGGATGGAACAATGGACAAGTAGTACAACTTGATTCTTCATTTACGCATAAGGAAGGAGATATATTTGAACACTTACGCATGGCTTGTAGGTAATATGCCTCCCACAGTGCCTGGTAAATCCTAAGGATTCAATAGATAGTACCTTTTATTTTTTGAACTAACATATCCAACCAAGGTCTCAGATAGTTGTTAGTGACCAAAGAAGATGAAAATTCATGTCCTTCCCTCAATGCAAGAACATTCTGTTCTAATAACCCAGCATTTTGTGATGCTCACCTTCCCGACACAATCACTGAAGACAAAGTGGGTGCATAAGCAAATGTGGTGAAGAAAGCTGATGGTGCCTAGCTATCAAAAGATAGTGTCCGGAGTCATAAAAGCTTGAAGATAAACAAGCGACCAGCTAGCTGAGAAGCAACAAAGCCTAATAAAAGAAACACCAGCCCATGTGATCATGAGGTGTCCATGGAATCAGGTATCAGGCATCAAAGACCAAGAACAAAAAAATCATATGTGAATGAGGGGGGAGCGCAGAGTGGAGACCCAAAGTCCATCTGTAGACAATTGGACATCCCCTCACAGAAAGGTCACAGGGAAGAGATGAGCCAGTCAGGGTGCAGTACAGCACCAATGAAACATACAACTTTCCTCTAGTTCTTTGATGCTTCCTCCCCCACTATCATGACCCCAATTCTACCTTACAAATCCTGCTAAACCAGAGCATATACATGGGTGCAGGTAAGAGCTGGAAACACAGGCAATCCTGGACAGATAAGCCCCTCAGGACCAATAATGAGAGTAGTGATACCAGGAGGGGAAGGGGAAGGTGAGGGGAGAAAGGGGGTACTGATCGCAATGATCTACATATAACCCCCTCTCAGGGGCACAGACAACAGGAAAGTGGGTGAAGGGAGACATTGGTCAGTGTAAGACATGAAAAAAAATTATAAATTATCAAGGGTACATGAGGGAGGCGGGGAGGGGGAATAGGCTGATACCAAGGGCTCGAGTAGAAAGGAAATGTCTTGAAAATGATGAGAGCAACATATGTACGAATGTGCTTGACCCAATAGATGGATGTATGGATTGTGATAAGAGCTGTAACAGTCCCTAATAAAATAATTTTTAAAAAGAGAAAATTCATGTTGTCAAATGCTGAGTTCAGTTCCTTCCATTATTATTTGTTAATGACATATAACTCACATATCACACAATCCAATCGTTCCATGATGTTAAGAAGAATTGTGTAATCATCACAACAATCCATTTTAGAATATGTTCTTTCTCAGACTCATTATTGTTAGCGCCCCATTTCCCCCCAACCTCTCCTGCCCTGCTCCTAGATAACTCCAGAAAACCACACAAAACAAAAGCAAGGAATAAACAAACAGGCAAAAAGCAGTAACATTGTCATAATGCAACAAGAAAGTCCCAGTAGAAAGGAAAGCAGAAAATATTAAAACTGGAACAAGAAAATATAGAATGCTTCACAAATGTACATGTCATCTTGTACAGGGGCCATGCTAATCTCTGAATCATTCCAGATTGAGTAGATGTGCTTCTGAAGGGAGCACCCCTTCCACTATTCCTGCTTCCCGGTTCATTCCCAGTGAAAACATGCCAGATAGGAAAAGAGACAGTACCAGAGGAAGAAAAGGAGACAGAAAACACTGTTCATCTCTTTCTCATCCCAAGTCATCAGAGGACTGTCACCGAGTACACATCTCACAACCGACCCACATACATAAAACACAGAGGACTGT